CTCCTGGCTGGTGACAGCTCCAGCCAGACAGAGCCGGGAACAAGAACTAAGCCAGCGAGCAGGGCGACGGTGTGGGCACCGAACCAAGGGGAGTCCGACATCTCCCCCCAGGGCAGATCGTCCTCATCCTCGCCTAAAACAGCCTCTGCTGGCCCTGAGCCCTGAGCCGTTGCCAAAGATGTGTCCCTCCAACTGGCAGGAGGGACTTTGCCCCCTCTGCCCAGTTAGGTGGGAGTGACAGGGACGTCTGTCCAGATCGATGCAGACTTGGCAGGCCACGAGCGTCTGAAAGGTTCAGAGCGTGCGTACAACCGGGAGACGGGGTTTCAGAGATGCTGTCAGGTCTGTTTAAGGCACTCGCCGCGTGATGCATCCCCAGCCCCTGCAGGGACAGGGTGGGAGGCTGCCGCCCAGCCCTGCTCGGCCTAGGTGCAGAGTCAGAGCAGAGCACGGCCGAGCTGGGGAGGGACAGGAACAAGGTCCTGCATTTTCTCACACAAGTTGGGAATGAGCACGGAAACCAGTAGGAAACCTGTGCTGTCTACCGAGGGACAGGGCAGCCTGAGGTCCTTGCAAGCTTTCAGCCCCTTGCAAGCTTTCAGCCCCTCTGTCATGCCGGGGGCGCTGCGTGGGGCAGATGCCCGCAGGTACCCCATCCTGCAGCACTGTCCTCCCTGGGCAGAAAGGCCCAGAGCCACTGGGGCAGCCCAGCACTCCCCAGTCCCTCCCACCGGGCAGAAATGCGCAGCTGCCCAGCTCGCAAAGCTCCCCGGTGACAAAGCAGGAGGGGATGCTGGTGCAGAAGACGGTCTGGCAGGAGTCCTTGACACCAGCGGCACAGTCACACTGCCGACGGCGCGTCAGCAGCGCGGGCCGAGGAGCCGCTCAGCGCTGTCAGATCTCCAGCCTAGTGGAAAGTTCCCACCTAACGGAGAAGGGAACGCGACACTTTGAAAAACAAACACCGATGCTAGAGAAAAGGAAGCCGAGGCAGCTGCGTGTCACTCCCCTTCGCCCCGCGCAACAAACCCTCCAGGGACACGCTGATCCCATCCGGAGACCAGCGCGCCCGTGGTCCCACCCCGGCAGCAGCCACCTGCAGCCGTGCCCCCCAGGAGCCCGCGCCACACCTACCCGCCGTATGTCACGCGTTTAAGGAAAATATTATACGTTTCCAGACAGGGTGTGAAATTAATATTGCTTGGGCAGAGTGAAGGATCACTTCATCCTAGTGGTGGCAACCAATTATTCATCTGCCTGTTGAATATTAATAAGGATGGCAGAAACGCGCTACACAATGAGCAACCGGAGATGGATAATTTGTCATCCAGCCTTTTCATCTGCTGCTGCTGGGCGGGGTGGCGATGTCCCCGCTGCCACCACAAAGACAGCCTGCTGCGGTGCCGCTCTGCGATGCGGCGATAAGGGTCCGGCTGGAGGTAGGACTGCTTGAGTCGCTTGAGTCTCCCTCAGCCGCTCCCCCTTTGGGGGTCAGCCCAGCAGCCGAGGCAAGAAGCACAGTCTGGAGAGCTGGGCGCTGCTCAGGATATCCGAACTCAGCTCCTGCCTTAGACTTCCCTAGCATCCTTGACCATGGCCACCTTACCCAGCTTTGTTCCAGGCTTCTCCATCCACTGAGTGCCTGGGCATGTCCCACCTCAGTAAGGGAGCTCCTGAGAGGCTTCGATGAGGCAGGGAAGATCACCACAGAGGGAAACCTCTCCCACCTCCACCGACCACTGATCTTCTTTCCATCCCACTCCAAGCACCAGCACAGAACCGACCAAAACCTGCCAAAGCCTCTCTGGGCAGAGCTGGCAGCCCCGAGGCCACTGCCCCAGTGTGCCGCACCAGGAACTGGTGGGCGCCCCCGGCCCCCAGCAGCCACAACTCACTGTCTCATCCAGAGCAGCTCACTGGCTGCAGTGGAACGACTCCAGACTCCCGCTGTCCTAAAAGAGGCCCCAGGTGTCCAGAGCAGACAGGCATCCAGCTGGCTCCCCGCTCCCGCAGCTCCGAAGCACTCCAGCCCTCACGCTGAGGAATACGGCGGCAGGGACGGGCAACTGCCTGGCTCTGTCCCCCTTGACGCGTGCCCATCAGAAAGGCAAATCTTCCACCTCGTATTGCTCAGAAGCACACACACCCTATCTAGGGACCACCAAAACCACCGTGAGGTTGGAAATACCCCCTGGATGTCACCAGGTAGAGTCCAGAGGAGGGCTATGAGGATGAGGAGAGGACTGGAGCATCTCTCCTACGAGGAGAGGCTGAGGGAGCTGGGCTTGTTCAGCCTGGAGAAGAGAAGGCTGAGAGGGGACCTTAGAAATGCCTACAAATATCTGCAGGGTGGGGGTCAGGAGGATGGGGCCAGACTCTTTCCAGTGGTGCCCAGCGACAGGACAAGGGGCAACGGGCACAAACTGAAGCAGAGGAAGCTCCAGCTGAACAGGAGGAAGAACTTCTTCCCTCTGAGGGTGACGGAGCCCTGGCCCAGGCTGCCCAGGGAGG